TTTGAGGCTTGAAGATCCCTTCCAATCCAAACTATTCTATGGTTTTGTGGACAAAACACGTGGTTGCTGCTTCTTAGCACCATTGCAAAAGTAGCAGGAGTTTCACATTCCCAAGGTGGAACATTCACACCTGACAGCTGAGGCCCCTCAAGTGTTTATACAGCTGGGGGTCAAATGAGATCATTTGTATCCCAAATCCATGAAAAAAAGATGTCTGTTTATATGATATCTTCCAACCTGACCAAAACATTATTTGTTAGTGCCTAAAATAAAAGTGACATTTGCCTGAGCGGCTCTTTAAAACAGAACTGCCCAGGTTCAAACCCAGCAAATGTCAGGATTGGAGGAAGAGATTAACACAATTTACTGCTAATGAGGGATTCCTTTTCCAAGCTGTCACTACTTGAATATCTTCCTGATGTCTCACTGGAGTGTGTGTAAACCCAACACAGTGTCAGAGCATCTCACAGTGAGTGTTGAGACATCAAACCAAAGCCATTCCTCCAGGCTAGACTGGAAACTTTGCAGCTGACCTAGAGAACATACAGTGAAACATGTTCACCTGAGTGTCTCATTCAGGTTATTCTCAGGGCTTTCTCTGCCTTGTTAGTGAAGGGTTTAATCAGTAAATTGACTTTTTAATGAGGTGGGTGCTGGTCACTGTGGCTGCAGGGAGCAGATTAATCATTAACTCCACAGCGGAAGGGGAATTGTGGTGAACTTGGAAGACCTCTCTCCACTTTTAGTTTATTTGGAAGAACTCATGTGACTTGAGACACATGGAAATACTCCTTTTAAAGCAATTTTCCTGCATTGCCAAAATGACTCCAGTGCGTTGCTTTTCTCTCAGTGCATTTGCAAGTGACTGATTTTTTTGCACCTTTGGTGTTGCAAGAAGATCAAATCAATAATGACATGGGGGGGTGGGTCTGGGGGCTCTTTTTGCTTGAAAGGGCACTGACCTACCATAACCCACACATGCTGAATAGTTTTCTTGAATGCTTTGTGAGTTTTGAGATTCTCTTGCTTAAGATTGGATCATGTGAACTAACTTATGCTTCAAAGACTCAGTTTTAGCATAAGAGTCTTTTGAAATGAGACTTGTGAGAGAGCACACTAACACTTCACTATTCACAGCAGTTTATGGTAAATAATTCTATTTTGAACAGACCAGTATTCATTTGGTATATAAATCAGAAGTGAAATCTGTGAGGATTCATGGAATCTGCCTTTGTTTTATTAACTAACTCATCAGAGTTAGTGAATATTTAGAATTCACAGACTGTGGATACAGTTGGTAGTTTGGGGATGCATGTGTGTGAGAGCTCTGCCTTGTCTGTTTACTGGATATTAATTAATCCAAGAAGGCATCTTGGTGTTCTAAAGTTGCACACAAATGGAGACTTTCCTGACCAAGTTTTATATAGAAAGTATGGACAGTTATTCTTTCAGACCAACTCCGAAAAACAACGAAAATCTAAGAAATAATTTTGCACTGTTGGTTAAGTTCTTGCTTTTTCTTGAAGTCACGTGGTTGTTTTTAGAATAGCAGTCACTGAGCAGTGAAGTGGAAGAGGGAGGGGAGTCTCCACACAATGAATAACCCAGGGCATCTTTCTGCAGCTATATACCGTGCTCCGAGAGAATACATGTGGCAGTGACAGAAATGGCAGCCTTGTTCCCAAAAGTAAGTACCTGCCACCATCAGAATGGTTTCCTTGTGTGTAATTCCCCTTCAGAATGAAAATTAAAAATTATTTCACTTCAAAATGAAAATGGTAAGGAGAAATGATGGGGTTATGATGCACCTTTGTATTTATTAGCGTGGCAGCTGGTAAAGGCTGAAGTCCAGGCCTTTAATTGTACTCTTGAATGTAAAACATGTAAGAATTGTACAAAACAGGAGGTGCTTGGATCTGGCATGAAGAGTTGCGTGGTTATATGGGAATTTCACCAGACTCATTACCCCCTTTTCCATCTGAGTGCCATCACCTGGATTTCTTTCCTGCAGCCACGTTTAGATCTGTTATCCATCCATCAAAGTGATCTGTTTGCTCACAGCAAATTCAGGGAGTGAAATCCCCATGACCAACTTCTTGTAAAGTCTTTACCCACCTCTCCAAAACTGCAAGGAAAGAACCAAAGCTGCTGTCCCGTCTGCACCCATCATCCTGGACATGCTGTCCCCTCCTGCGAGCCAGGACATGGGCTGGGACAGTAAACAGCCACCAGAAATGAGCATGAGTAACTTCCTAAGGGAGGGCACGGAGCAATATTCCCTGCCTGCTGCCTGGCAGCCCTTCGGGATCTCCCCGAGAGCAGAGGGAAATTCCACCGGCTGCCACGAGGGGAATCAGGGCTTGGCCGCATCAAAGAACCCTTGTGAGCACTCCCGGCTAATTAAAAGGTTGTGTTGTTCTGCCTGTTCCAGCGTCTGTTTTCCCTTCCCAGAAGCCCAAGTCGGAGCTGGTGAGGACTTCCCTGCGCCTGCTGACATCCAGCGCCTACAGGCTGCAGTCGGAGTGCAGGAAAGCGCTGCCCGCCGAGCCCAGCCCCGCGCCCGACATCCAGCTGGTGACACAGCAGGTCATCCAGTGCGCCTACGACATCGCCAAGGCCGCCAAGCAGCTGGTCACCATCACAACCAAAGAGAACAACAACTGAGGCACTCGGGGCTTTTTACTCTGGGGTTTTTTTTTAAAGGTTGGATTTCAACATATAGGTGTGGAACTATGCGCATTTTTAAGAGGAAAAAACTTCAAGGGGCAAGAAACTTTTTTTTTTTTTTAAACTCAGTATTATTTTTGCATGTTTTCTAACAATTTTATGATTAATTTAACCCACTGCCTTATTTTGTGCCTGTGTTGCCAGTGTAGTTATGGATAATAGCATGTTGCAAGTAGCTGTCGAGCCACTCTCATGTCCCGGCGCTGTACCGAGCTCTTGTAGACGTTTCCTTGGGGCCACGTTCTGCTTTCAGATCCTGCTGGTGGAACTGCTCTGACACCACTGCACGGATGGGAGAGCAGCATCTCCATCCCTCTTGGAGCCTCCCCTGCTGGGATCCTGCTGGCTGAGGCTCCCCAGGCTCCAGGACTGCTCCCAGCAGGAAGAAGGTTTGTCCTGGTAACGGGGTACAAGCCCAACGTTCTCTGTTCCCATATCAACTGTTGTGCAATATGTTTTTTTTAGTCTGCTAAACCAGTAGTAGTTGTGGGCATCCAATCTTGTTACGTGTAACTCTACAAGGTCTTTGTCACTTTATCTGTTTTGGAAGGAATTTGAAACTTAGTAGTTATTTCTTTTAGTTGTCACTATGCCATTAATATATATGTTTGATGTTATTTTAGGGCATTAGTGGTTAAAATATTATCCTTTGTTTCTGAGTTAGTAATTCATTGTTAAGTTTCCTGCAGAATTTTTCTGTCATCTTTGAGGCACCGTCTTGTTTGCAGCAGCATTTCTCAGTAACTCCAGATGCAATTTCACTAAAGATTTCTGTGCTTATTAACAAAAAAAAAAGGAAGTTAGAAGAGTGCCAGTGCAAAAGCAGCTGTGTCTGCCACAGCACATAACCTCTGTACCTCAACATATCCAAATGTGAACATATTTCTCGTATCTCCTAAGTTTTTTATGCAAATCTTTACAAATTTGACAACTTGCTGAATAACCCCTGCCAGGCTGCCTGGCCCCTATGGCCATGTTTGCTCCAGGTTTCTTCATCTATAACAGTTCACAGAAGTGTGTCAGTCCCTAATTTAAAAATTGAGAATATTTTTGGGAGTCTGAATTTTAGGTGGTGCAGGAAATCACTGATTTTTGCCTCTGTCCAATTTGGAAGTGTCTTGTCCCTGCCCAGGAGCCAGCCATGGTGTGTTTGTGTGGACATAAAAGTGCCATAGCACTGCTGGATTCCTGGTGCTGTCTGTCTCTCAGAGTCTGAGGGAGGGAAGGAATGGAGAGAGGAGATGACAGCCCAGTAAATTAATGTTCTTCATTGTGGTGTTTTATTTCCTTTCTGCCCTTCTGAACCCCAGAAGCAGCTCTAGCCAGACAGCAGAGGCAGGCTGGGATTAAAACTGCAAACCTACTTCAAAATCATGTAACTGGCAATTAATTAAATACATTGAGAATCTTCGGGGATTAAAACTGCAAATGACCTTTGTGAAACCTACTTCAAAATCATGTAACTGGCAATTAATTAAATACATTGAGAATCTTCTAGGAACTTTTCCTTAAATAATGGTTGAAAGGCAGCAGATGGTATTTTTCAGTCTCCCAGGACACCACTGTGTGCTGTTCTTTAACATATCTCACCTGCTTTCCAAAGCAGGGTGACACTGAGCTATGGTGTATTTTGTCACTTATTTAAACCTGCCTTTGATCCAAAACCAAGGGACACTTTAGTAACTGCCAGCCCCTGCTCCAGCTACACTGAAATCAGAGTGGTCCACACCCCACAGGAACCCCCAGCAGCAAGTTCATGAACCCTCCACCCACAGCACTGCAGTCACAGAGTTTGTAGCACCTCAAGTAACAAAGGTGTGTTTTTCTTTTAGGACTAGATCTCTTGTTCCCCTGTAAACAAACTTGCTCTTCCTTTACAAAATGCTGCAGAGGAAAGGAAAAGCTTTTTTTGCCTTTTTCCAAACCTTGTATTTATCAGTGTCATTCTGTCTGTACAATATTTTGACTTTTAATCTTTTGTTTACAGTATTACTATAAAATGCTAAAACCCTTTCAGTGTGTGAAATAATGTGGGCTTATTTGACTGCTGGTTCTCTGAAGATCTCTGGAAAAGTTTCTACTCTTGAGTCAAGTGCTGCCAGTCTTTGTAACAGCTCCTTGTGCACTGTGACAGGACTGGTGTCAAGCTGCAGCAGTGGATGGTAACAGCAAGGAATGAACTGCAATAATCAGCTCAATCTCCTCTCCTGTTGCTGCAGTGGTTTGCTCACGTAAGAAAACCAAATCCTTGTTCAGGTTTCAATTATTCATTATTTATGAAACAAGTGAAAAACAATCTTTAATTCTCCAGCACCTTCTGGAGAGGAACTGGACAAGCACTGCTGCCACAGCACACATGATCTGACTGATTTGCAATATACATTATGAATTAACTCCTCACAGTCCAGTGGGAACCCAGGCACAGCCTGATTCTCCAAGGTGGGAGTCTGACACAGCCCCACAGCTCCTCTTCCTGGGGAGACACAGATGCTTTTGTGGCTCAGGTCCACAGGGCCCTTGAATTTTCTGGGTTGCTTCAGCCTCTCACGTACCAAAATACATGAGCACAACTCCAGAATGCAAAGTGAAGCAGTTCACTTCTCTGAAGGTGCTCACACCTCCACACTCCTGAAGACAGTAGAACTTTTCTCCTCTTCAGCTTGGCCACAACTAAAAAATGTTTTCAGAAATCTACTGAGTCAAGTCTTGGTCTCACTGTAGGCTATTCCAGAGGCACCATTATTTCAGGAGTTCCTTGAGTCCTCAGAGTTTTTTCTCTGTAGTCTGGAGCTGCATCTCATGCTCATTCCTCAGGTCCAAGCTGCTCTTGGGTAACTGTAGAACTGATGGGGTCAAAACAAAGATCAGCACAGGTTTTTGGGCTCTGGAATTAATCCACACACAGTGTTGAGCATGCACAGGAGCAGATGGGCTGGGCAGGGGCTTTAGGTAGGGTTACTCAGTTTTGATTTTAGAGCCAGGCAAAGCAGGACAGTCAACAAAGACACTGAGCAGGGGAGTTGCACTGTACCAACTGCACTTATGCATTTAAAATAAATCCCTTTCAGCACTGAGCAAGATTTGAGGCATTAGCAACACATCTGCCTCAAAAACTCTTTACAAGTTAGGGCCTTATATCTCAATATCAGCAAAAAAAACCAGAGGGAAGTGTAGAGCTCTGTGAGGGGAAGGAACAGCCCTGTGTTGTGCCCTGGTACTGTGATGACTAAAGTGCAGATCAGAGGCAATGATGGTGCCACCCTCCGTGATGGGCTCGTGTGTTGGGGTGACCCCTGTGCCAGGGTGACCCAGGTGTGACCTTACCCTGCTGTGCCAGCCCTGCTTGGCCTCCTGCTGCTCCAGCTCCTCGAGGTGCTGCTGGGCTGATCCCTCCTGCTGCTCTTCCTCCTCTCCCAAGCTGTGCTCTGTCCCCTGCACAGGGAAATCAGGTGAGATGGGGCAGCCTCAGCAGCCAGGTGTGTACGGGGAGCTCAGCCTACCTGTGCCTGCAGCTCCCTCCTGTGGGCTCTCTGCTCTTCTTCCTCCTGCTCCTTCTCCCGACGAGTCCCATCCTTGGCCTCCTCGAGTTCTTTGATCAGCTGCTCTCGATATTTAATGGACTCTTTTTGGGCCCTTCTGTTTAGCTCCATCTTCTCTTGGATCTGGCGCTGCCTGCCTGCAAGGACCTGTGCAAAGGATGGAGGGAGAAGATGGTTAAACAATTCCCAGGAAACACACCAGACAAGCAAAAAAATTCCACCCCAGCGTGGAAGGCTCTGACTCTCCAGAGGGTGGTGGGTTACAAGTGGAATGATGGTTTCATTGAGCCAAGGGGGACACATCATCAACAGAGGTCATCCATCACCTCACTCATCAGGCGATCTCTGGCCACCTTCTCTCTTTCCCATTCTTCTTCCCTCTTCTCCCAGATTTTTCTTGCTTCTTCCCTAAAGGAGAGAGGAAGAATTATCTCTGAGATTAACTCCACAGGCACAGACAAGCTATCCTGTGCTTTAGAGGAGCACTTGGGTTTCTCTTCAGGTTTGGCCCGTGCCAGTTGGTGTGTCCATCCCACCTGTGCCTCTCAGTGACCCCCTGACCCAGAACATTCAGCACACATAGACTCTTCAGGTGAGGTTCAGAGGTAGACAGACTCACCTGAAGATAGTATCAAGCTCTGCTTCCCTCTCCTTTTCCAGCTGGAGCTGTTCCTCGATGACCTTCTTCATCCAGGCCACGTCTGCCACCGCCCGTCCCCGCCGCACGCTCTGCCAGCTCTGATCCTGCTCTTCTTTCTCCAGGAGAGCTGATAAGATTTGCCTGTCTGCCTCCTGGAGAAAAGCCACGAGATTTACAACTATCCAAGAGCCTCCCAGCCTGTGTGCAGGGCTCCTCTAGGCATTACTGGTGACAGTGTCAAGGGTGTGCTCAGCACGATGCTCCATCTGCTGCTTCCCCGTGAGCTTTGTGCTCCTGCCCTGTGCACAAGCTGGAAGGGGCCCCCTGATCTGTAGGAATCAGAGGCAGACACAAACCACACACAACAAGTTTTTTCACCACACAGCATCTATAAAGTATAAACTAATCTCTTACCAGCTCCTCCTGTACCTGCTGCGCTCGTCTCCTTAACTGGACGTCACACTGATGCTTCAAGAAGCGACTGAAGGAGGAAAAAAAGCAAAATTAAAAAATAAAACAACAGTATTTCAGTCACACTGACTCTAAAGCACCACATCATTGTACAGCAGCACCTGGGGAGGTACATCTGTGACAATGAGGAACTAGAAACAAAAAGCAGTAACAGCACCAGTGCCTCTGCTCCTTGGCTGCTGTGGGCAAATCTGCCAAAACTCAGATATTTACATTCTACCACTGCTACTTGGAAAATCTCCTTGTGCCCCAAGTACTGCTGTGGGCACAGGAACAGATTCTATCCAAAACAAGCTCCACTTGGTGTCCTACCCGAGCTCTTTCTTCCTCCGGTGCTCTTCCATTTGTTTCCTTTCTTCTTCCAAATTCTCCAGCTCCCACTGCTGCTTCAATAAATTCTCTTGTTCCTTTTTCAGCTTTGTTGCCTAAAAAGGAAAACACAAGCACTGAGAGAGAGTTCATCAGAGAGCATGCTTGACCAGAGTTTGTACCCTGTTCTGCTCCTCTGCAGGCAGGGAAAACCCTCCCTGCAGTACAAACATGGAGAGAAGAGGTCAGGTCAGCCCTGCTGTATTTCCAAGTGAAGCAATGAATTCCTTTCTCAAATGAGGAGAAAGTCAAGATTACCTTTGTCTCCTGCAGTTTCAGTTCTTCTATCTGCTGCAGCAAGGCCTTCTCCAGCTGAGGCTTCTCTTCCTCTTGTCTCGTTCTTTCCAGCGCTTCCCCTCGTGCAGTTTCATACTCATTTTCATGTTTCTTCTCTTCAAGTTTGGTCACCTCTTCCTTTCCCAAAGAAAAGGAAACAGCATTTCAGGTTAGCCTGACACAAAGAAACAACTTCTGGCTCAGAAAATCCACAAAGCAAGCTGGATGGCTTTGTTAACAGTGCCCTTCCTGGCACAAGTGTCACCCCTACACCCACACACGCATTTCACTGGAGTCCTCCCAGTGACCAGAACACCAGGGCTGCCCCCATACCTTGTTTTGTTGTGTTAGCTGATCACCCCAAGCCTCCCTCTACCCCTCCACCCAGACACGCATTTCAGAGTCCTCCCAGTGACCAGAACACCAGGGCTGCCCCCATACCTTGTTTTGTTGTGTTAGCTGATCACCCCAAGCCTCCCTCATGTGCTTCCTCTGCTGCTCAGACTCTGCCTGGAGACACAACAGATGTAGCAAGGTCATCAGAGCCAGAGGTTCTGTCCCCCAGGATCTTCCAGACTCTCTGGAGCACCACTGAAATCCCAGGAGGATCTGCCTCTGCAGAGGTGGGCTCATCTGAGTGTCCAAGGTGCCCACCAGGTCCTGAGGGTCACTGTCACATGGGAAACACCACAGTGACAGTGATACAGGACTGCAATGCTGCAGCAGCACATGGGTGGAATAAAGAATGAGGAAGCACCACGGCATGGCAGGTACAGCTGAGATATAAAGATTTTTTTTTGTGTTATTTATATTTTATGTGCCTGAGATATTTACATTGTGAGCTCTGAAAATTTGCTCAGAGTCTGAACAGATTTCTGGCTTTTAAAAATACAGCCTTGAGAGGGCTTCTTAAAATTATTTGAACTTAAACTCTTTACTTCTTTTGTTTATCAGAACTTGGGGCAGTTGCTGTGATGCGAGATGAGTGGCCACAGCAGAGACGTGATGACTTTCAAGTTAAAAACCGGTTTAATAAATACAAGGCAGCAGGGACTCAGGAAAAAGCAACATCACCTCTCGGAGCTCCGCGTTGTTTTTGTTCCAGCGCTCCTGCAGCGGCGGCTCAGCAAACTGGGAACACAGAGCTGGGTCAGGTCAGGATACAGGACACAGGAGTGCTCGGCATCCCAAACCCCGCCGAGGCTGACAGGGGTTCAGGGCACCAAGCGGTGGCAACTCCAGCAAGTTCCGCTGGTACAGCTGAAGCACGGGAGCGGCCCTTCACCGGAGGAGCCCCGGGATGCGCGACGAGCACGGCCGGGCTGTTCCCTCACCTTCCTCCCGCACTCTCCGGGGTTGTCCCGCAGCTCCTGGCTCCGCATCCCGCCCCGCCGCCGCTCCCGCAGCTCCGCCGCCAGCGCCTCCCGCTCCTCGCCCAGCAGCCGCCGCAGCCGCTCCCGCCGC